TTTCCTCGTTAGACAATCTCTCCTCAAAGGTAGTCTCAAAAGGCTTGCAACATGATTATGAGTTTAACAAGTATTAGTTATACAGATATTTTATGGTGATTGAGAGACCATATTACAGATGCTGGTATTTTCGTCGGTGATGGTGGTGGCGTCACTGCTGCTGCTTCTAGTAGAACTATTTTCACCATCTGTTTTTTGTTGAAGACTTGGGAGTGATTGAGATAGAGAGATTGGTGTTCAAGTTTATGCGATTATCAAGCTTTTTAGGTTTAGCAATAGGAGCAGCAGAACTCCAAACTGTGGGAGGAGTGGCCTCAGATATAATTGCCGACTCCGACGCTATATATAGCTTTCTTGCCCCTCTGTGCATGTGCCGCTGACAATACTTCTGATCAGGAACAACTCCCCTACTACATCGCCATTTCTTACCATCAGTTCTTCTGCATCTCTGTAAATCAGTATCTGCAGAAGTACTATATTCAAAGACTGAGCTATTGCAACCTGTGACTGCAAGGAATGGTAGAGAGGAACAAACCACATTTTCTCAAAAAAAAAAAAACTTAACAGCTCAATTTAAACTGTTTCAGAAATAAATAAATGAGAGAAGGAAGAAATTTTATTTGAACATAAGAAACAAATAACATTGCTGAAGTGATAAAAAATCTGGAGTTACAGGACTAATTTACAGAAGTTGCTTCCTACAAATACTTAACTAACTTGGACTCGATCACAATACCAAACTCCTAAAATATCTCAACAATCTGATGATGACTTATTTCAACATAACAGACTAAGACTCAATCAACAAAATAGACTCCTAAATAAATTCAACTACTCCTAAAAAATAGGCCAGTAAGATGCACTAAACTTTGACACTCCCCTTTAGTGCATGCTTACGGTCAATAATACCAAGATCACTTCGAAATTTATCAAACGTAGCTCAAGCAACAGCTTTAGTAAAAATATCTGCAACTTGGTCCTTGCTGCATATGTACTCCAACTTAATCTCTTGACTTAATACTTTCTCTCAAACAAAATGATGATGAACTTCAATGTGTTTTGTGCGAGCATGAAAAACTGGGTTTCCGACAAGTTTGATTGCACTTTCATTATCACATTTAATGGGGGACCGAATACTCCAATGCAGCAGTTATGTCTTGAATTAATCGCTTAAGCCAGATGCACTCTTGAGATGCCATGGTTGCTGCCATATATTCCGCTTCTGTACTTGAAATAGCAACTGTATTCTGCTTTTTACTGCACCATGAGACGGCGGCTGAACCTGTGCTGAAGCAATAACCCGTAGTTGATCATCTGTCATTTACATCTCCAGCCCAATCTGCATCAACAAACCCCTGTAGAGAAAACTGAACATCTTGCTGGTACATCAACCCGAACTCCAACGTTCCTTTCACATAGTGTAAGATCCTCTTTGCTGCAATCATATGACCAACACATGGCTTGTTCATAAACTGAGATACAACTCCTACAGAGTATGAAATGTCAGGTCTTGTGATAGTTAAGTAGCATAAACTACCCACAAGTTGACGAAACTTTGTTGCATCTTCCAGTAGCTCCCCTTCAACTTTCTATAACTTGAGACATGGCTCCATAGGAGTAGCCATAGATTTTGATTCTCTCATGCCAAAACGATTCAAAAGACTTGTTGCATACCTCTTTTGAGAGATAAAATACCCATCTGACTTTTCTACTTCTAAGGCAAGAAAACATTGAACTTCACCCAAATTCTTCATTTCAAATCGGACAGACAAATCATCTCGAAGCCTTGTAATTTCAGCATTGTTGTCTCCGGTAATGATCATGTCGTCTACGTAAAGAAGAATCATCGTGTACATCGATGACTGTGCCTTAACAAATAAACTAGGATCTGAACTAGAAACTTTAAAACCACAAAATGTAAGATGTTGAGCAATCTTTCTATACCAGGCACTTGGAGCTTGTTTGAGACCATATAACGCCTTCCTGAGTCGGCACACATGATCAGGAAATTCCTTAGAAACAAATCCTTGCGGTTGCTCCATAAAAATGTCATGATCTAACTCACCGTAGAGAAATGCTTTACGTCGAGTTGCCATAAATTTCAGTGTTTGTATGCAGCCAAAGAGATGTTGTTCGAACTGTTACCATTTTAGCAACAGGGCTGAAAGTCTCCTCATAATCTAACCCATATTGCTGTGAAAAACCACGTGCAACAAGGCGAGCTTTATACCTATCGACAGTGCCATCAACCTTTCTTTTCAACTTGTAAACCCACTTACATGTAACTAGTTCAGCACCCTTTGGCTTTGGTACAAGTTCCCATGTAGTATTTTGATGCTGAGCATTGATTTCTTCACGCATTGCAGCTTCCCATTCAGCAATTCCCTGAGCTTCATTGTAGCACCTAGGTTCATCTTCATATGTAACCCCCATGAGAAAACAAGAGGTTACAGTGAAATGATTTAAATGAACCTCATAATCGCTTAAATAATCTGGTTGCCTTCGCTGCCTTATTGACCTTCGAACCATAATCCCATCTTGTGGAACAGCTTCTTCAGATAAGATATCATTCCTCCCTACTACTGTGGAATCAAGTTTACTAGAAAAGGACTCTAGATCACTTGTGTGATTTCTGAAATTTACGCTAGAGTAGTATGTCGACCCCTCATTGAATACCACATCTCAAGAGACAACAATCTTTATTGTTTCTGGATCCATACATCTCCAACCTTTCCTGTGTGAGTCATAGCCAACAAAAATACATTTTCTTGCCTTTGGGTCTAGTTTGGTTCGACTACTCTTAGATACGTGAACATAACAAGGCGAACCAAACACCCGAAAATAACTCACATCTGGCTTTTTATTATATAAAAATTCAAAAGGAGATTTTTCCGTACCTGGTCATGGAGGCAACCTATTGATCACATGACAAGCACACTGCATGGCTTCTGCCCAAAACTCTCTGGGAAGGTTCTTTTCGTGCAACCATGACAAGCTCATCGAGGTGAGATGCCCCAGCTTTCGTTCAGCAACCCCATTCTGTTGCGGGGTCTTTGGACATGTCAGTTGCCAACGAATTCCATGTTCACTGCAATAATCTGAAAACTCATCTGACAGATACTCCCCCCCATTATTGGTATGCAAACACTTTATCATAAACCCAAACTCCTTCTCTACATGCATCTTGAACTGAGTGAACTTAGAGAAAGCTTCACTCTTGTGTTCCAAAAAATAGACCCAAGTGAACCGTGAGAAGTCATCCACGATAACCATCACATAATGACAACCGTTATAGCTAGGTGTTCTTGTTGGCCCCATTAGATCTGAATGGACCAACTAGAACAAAGTAGACGCACGATTCTTTGATCTCTGAAAAGGAAGGCGATGAGATTTGCCATATTGACAACCAGGACAAACCACATCTTGATGTACCTCCTTAAACATGGGAACACCGTCAAGCAGTTTCTTCATGGAGATTTGCTGCAACATTTGATAACCAAAGTGGCCTAACCGAGCATGCCAAAGTGAGGCACTATTATTGTTCTGTCTATATATGCTTCACTTGCAGATAGAACATATAAAGACTCCTTCCTTTTTCCCGTAGAAAGGACATCAGCTGCAACATGCTTTAGATTTTCAAGGATCTTTACATCGTCAGGACCAAAGAGAACATACCTCCCTGAGTCGGTGATTTGAGAAACTGACACAAGATTCTTTTTCAACCCCGGAACATGATAAACATCACTAAAAACAATGTTGTTGCCATTCGAGCTATCAACCTTAACATCCAAGTGGCCTTCTTTCACTACCGGATGTACTGAATTATCAGCTGTAACAATAGCTCGGTTCCCCTTATGCGGTTGAACTTCTGAAAGCAGAGATGCATTACCCGTTGTATGATGGGAACAACCAGAATCGACAATCCACTCCTTCTCATAATCGATGGAGATATTAGAATCCTTATGTGCAATAGTCTGGTGCACAACAGAATCCACGTTACCTGGTTGTTCAACAACTTCAGTAGAAAGGCAATGCTCCTATTTGAGCTGATCAGAATCTTTGTTCTCGTGTACAACATTTGCATTTTCATCCACAAGCTTAACATGACAATTTTGTTTGATGTGGCCTGGTTTTCCACACCTATTACATACAACCTTCACTCTGGCAATTTCGCTTGATGTGCCCCAGCTTCCCACACCTGTAGCAACTTTTGGAATTTCCATCTGACTCCATTTCCGCTTTTGCCTGCTTGCCATCACTTGATGAATGCTTTGGGACACCTCTATTTTTCCACTTGTCTTTGGTGAAGAGAACATCCTCAACTTCAGAGATGGGCCTGGTCATTTGCTTAACCAATGCTTCTTGGTTCGAAAGCAAATTCTCTAGGTCTACAATAGAAGGCTGAGTTGCCCACCCTTGCACAGTGGAAATAAATGGCATGAACTCTTTCCGAGACCACGAATGAGATAACGAAGCAATCGTGCATCGCTAATGGGCTCCTCCGTATCTAACTCTGAAATTTCAGAACAAAGGTTTTTAACTTTAAAAAATTATTTTGGAATAGACAGATTTCCTTGTGTTACTCCAGTAAGGTCATTTTCCAAATACTGCAACCTCATTGTATTCTTCTTAGTAAAAAACCTTTCAAGAGTCTCCCACACTAGCTTTGGCGTATCCTTATCACGAACATGATCAACGTAGTCCTTACTGATCGATGTCCATAGAGCAAACAAAGCTTTACCGCATTTGATCCTCCATTTTCGACGCAGCTCACCATTCTGTGGAGTATCATCCGGAATTACAGATTCAGCACCGGCAATAAGATCCCATAAATCTTGACCTTGTAGATAAGCTTCCATGCAAAGCCTCTAATATTGGTAATTATTACCAACAAGCTTACCTACATTTGGTGAAGAACCATTTCCAGCATTCATTTTGAAAGAAAAAAAAAACTATGAAGCACTTCAGCAAGTCAACAAACAATAAAACTTAAACCAACTCTCAACAACCTTGCTCTGATACCATCTCAAAAAAAAACTTAACAGCTCAATTTAAGTAAGAAAATGAACTGTTTCAGAAATAAATAAATGAGAGAAGGAAGAAATTTTATTTGAACACAAGAAACAAATAACGTTGCTGAAGTGATAAAAAATCTGGAGTTACAGGACTCTAATTTATAGAAGTTGCTTCCTACAAATACTCAACTAACTTGGACTCAATAACAATACCAAACTCCTAAAATATCTCAATAATCTGATGATGACTTATTTCAACATAACAGACTAAGACTCAATCAACAAAGCAGACTCCTAAATAAATTCAACTACTCCTAAAAAATAGGCCAGTAAGATGCACTAAACTTTTGACACATTTCACATTTATCAAAAAAACCTACTAAGCAAATATGTACGAAAAAAATTCAGCGCAATTTGTTTCAAGAAAGTCTATGATAGTCCAACTAAAATAGATGTAGAACTTAACAATTGTTCAAAACTCATGAGGAAATAAGATCAGTCAAAAATAAATAAGTAGTGAAAAATCAAATGACAAAGGGATTTTATTCTTAGCAGTACCACCTTGAATAACACTCTTCGGGGAGATGCCAAATCTTGGAGCTACAGAACTACCAATTTTGACTTCTTTTACATTGCTGCTGCTTCTCTTACCAATCTGTAATTGGAATGGCCAAATCCGGTGTCCTTGTCACCAATGCAGTAGCTGTTGTCTTTGCTGTTGGATTTGTCAGCAACTGCACTGATGAATGTGGTGGTGCTAATGCTGGCGTCTCTATTGACACCAACATTGTTTTTGCTTCTGTTGTTGCTATTGCAGAAATTGATGGTGATAGGGGTGGCAGATGAGTCACTGATGACATTGATTTTGTTAACTCTACTGTTGCCACTACTAGAGGAGGTAGTGGTAATTTCAGCAGTGGCAGGGACATTGTTGCTGTAGTCAGAAGAGGGAATCATGAGTTGAAGATTGGGAGGGGCAGAAACAGAGAGATTGGCAATTGTATTGGTGGTGTTATAAGAATTGATAGCTGTAGTGGTGTCACTAGATGTGATGGTTATGGTTGTATCAGATTCTGAAATATGTTTAGAAGATTCCACATGCTTTCTTGAACGCTGACAACCTCTGTGCATATGCCGCTCACAGTACTTCTGGCCTGGAACCACATCTCTACTACACCTCCATTTCTTCCCATCAGTTCTTCTACACCTTCCTGGTTCAGGATCCATCATGCTGCCGTAATCAAACACCGGAGGACTAAATCCAAAGACTGAAACCAGTGGAAAACAAAATATTAATCCAGATTTTCAATCAAAAGTTGATAATCAATCTCAAAGTCGAAGTATGTAATAATCTAAAGGAGGACCACATTACACCAACTTGAGAAAGCACTCAATGAAGCACTATCACCCCCTAAGAACCAGCTCCATCCATGTAGCCACCACTGCCACCCAATTAACTATCCATGCAATCACCACCACTCTAGAAAGCACGGGTGCGGGTGCCGTATTTGATACGATACGGATAAGAAGATATAGCAAAATTCAAAAATATAAGCTACGAGTATGGCAAGGAAATGACTAATTAAAATAATTGTTTATATTTTGGATAATAATATAATTATAATATGTTAAAAACAAAGCATATTTTGTAGTAGTATTAATAATAAGACCTAACAAACATTATTTTTTTAATTAAAATTGAAATAGATAAAAATAAGAGTCCACCATTTTCATCAAACATTATTATATCCATTAACATTCATAATCCACAAGTTACATAACAAAAAACACAAAAAAAAAATAAAAAATTTTTACACCCCTCTTAATAGTTAATAATCGTGCGATTATTGTGGCGTCATGATATCGAACAATACGACCTAAAATAAAATGTTGAGCATGATGAGAGATTCAAGTCATAATGAGACATTGTGGAACCGTATCGGTCAACTTAGTAAAGATAACTCAGAATTGACTAAGATACAATTCAGACGATTCGGCCGAGTAGTGCGAGATTCAAGATTTATATGGATCATGTAACGGCATCGTCTTGGAAGGTGCCGACTAGTATCGATATCAACCACTACTTTAAACAATGAGCACCACCACCAACATCACTTCCTCCCTCCACCGTTGCACCAAACACCCATTACATTTGGGTTGGAGACAAGGGGAGTCCAACACAACATGCCCAATATGGATATTCTGATTGTGGTTAAATTACATATTTGAAACTCCTGTTAATCTAAAAACTTAAAACCTGTAGGGTGCGAGCCCATTCACAACATATTACAATCATTGATTCTTGGAATGTATCCCCATTATATCATCAAACATGAATCAAGGTTGGAATCACTCTACTATGTTTGCCTTTGTATGTTTGTGTATCTGTATGATAATTGGGGGCTATCTTACCATGGTTTCACATTGCATGTCCACCATTCATTATCATCCCATTGTGGCCCTCAACATACAAGACCAAATTTCTACATATATGAATAAGTTGCAACTCCCACCCACCTTGATGAACCTAGAGAATATGGTCCCTATCCCTCAAAAGAATGGGTTGTGGTAATAGGTAAGGAAGTGCTCATTGGTTTGAACAGAAAAGAAAAAAAGAAGAGAGAATAAGGGGTGGGTAGTTCATTCAACTATAGACAGGAGCATTTTCATCATGATAAATTGAGCGAATGGCTGACCTATTTCATTGATCAGTTGGAACATCGATGGGGAAAATTGCCTTCCTGGGGTTTTCGTTATGACATCAGGAAACAGTGATTATAGTGATTACAACCTCTAGCTCTAGGGAGTCACTGTAATTGCTCAGACATAAGTGGTACCCTGTGTTGTAAGCCTAAACATCAATGGCAGTTAGTCTAATTTAACCTTCACAGAAACCAAGGAAACTAATCGAATCAACATAAGCCATTTCAAAGCAAGACAAAATAATCACAAACCATCTCTGCAAAACCAATTGGACAAAAAATTTACGTATAAAGCAATGGCAATGACTACTATCAATCTAACTTACCCAAAAAAAAGACTACTACAAATGTAACGAGCATAAACCTTTCACAAATCTAAAGTTTGATGAACTCAAAACAGCATCAAAAGAACAAGACAGAGATCATAGTTTCATAGATAAACATAAAAGACGCAAACACAACCAATATAAACCACAAAATCCAACTTAAAGACCAAGTACTGTATAGACCCAACAATATGAAAAACCAAAACTCATATTTAAGTTCCTCAAGGAAAACCACATAATCAAACGAAATCATCAAATATCCAAATGGCAAGTATAACACACATTAACCCTTCTTATAACATTGTGAATAGCACAAGGCGACAAAAGTATCAATGCATCATCTGAAACACAACACCATTGGTCATGTTCACTTGCTGTCCATCAAAAGTATAATGGACAAAAAGGCATCTCCTACATCATCAATGTGATAGTAAGAAATGGCGAAATTCCTGGCAGAAGCCCATCTCAAGTTTCAAGTCTAGTAGATATAACCTATAATAATAAAGCAAAACCCATAACACAATTTCCACATAAATCTTTAAGCGCACATCAAAAATCAGTCAAACAAATGCCAAACCCATCTCAAATTCCAAACTTAAGACAAAGTATAAGAACCCCTAAACTTGAACATTCATTAGCACATTAATAAGATGAAAACCGATCTTAACTTTCAAGTCTAGTAGACATTCACCTATCATAAAATTGCAAAACCACCCTTAACAAAATTTCCACACAAATCTTTAAGAGCACAGCAGAATAGGTCAAACAAACACCAAACAATCTCAAATTCCAATCCAAAGACAAAACATTCGTTAGCACATACAAAAGCCGAATTATATAAGAACCCTAAAACAGAACATTCGTTAGCACATAAATACGGCGAAAACCCATCTTAACTTTCACGTCTAGTAGACATAAACCTATGAGACCATAGCAAAACCCATACAAAAATTACCACAGAAATCTTTAAGAACACGGCAAAATCAGTCAAATAAACACCGAACCCATCTCAAACTCCAACCCTAAGATATAACACACACACACACACACACAAAAAAACCCTAAAACAAAACATTCATTAGCACATAAACAAGCTGAGAAATGAAATAAACAAAGAAACCCACTTACATCTTGGAAATTGGTTATGGATTCCACCACTGGCAGCGCCAATGGAGCTTCCAGAACTCTTCCAAATGGGAAGAACAAGGTGAAATGGAATAGGGAGGCCAGAGACTATGTACTTGAAGATAAGGGCTTGTTGATGGAGTTCATACTCCTGTGCAGCTGTGAACGCAGACTTTCCATGGTGTGTGATGGCATTCGCATGGCTCCGTCCTCCAGAACCAAAGGCACCAATCCCAAGACCAAGCTTGATCGACAGTAATCCTTAATCAGAAATTATAATATGAGCAAACTAAACACCCTGTACACATTATACTACACACAAATTCTCAGAGAGAGAGAGAGAGAGAGAGAGGACCAGAATGAGCATNTCCAGAACCAAAGGCATCAATCCCAAGACCAAGCTTGATCGACGGTAAACCTTAATCAGAAATTATAATAGCAAACAAAACACCCTGTACACATACTACACACAAATTCTGAGAGAGAGAGAGAGAGAGAGAGAGAGTACCAGAACGAGCAGGAGTGGTGAGGGGTTGGGGCTCCATTCTTTACATGGATTTAAAGCTACTGAGCGCATGGCGTGACAGAAAAAGACTATGCAACTGTCTCAACAGAGGTAAGAGAGAGAGAGAGAGAATAGCTTAAAAAGAAGGGCTAATTTCATTTTGAACCCCGAAAGATGCTTTAATTTTTAATCTGCATTATCAAACATAAAAAATTTTAATTTATACTTTTAACGTTATGAATTTGTAGAAATGTAGACCATTGGTAGTAATGTATATTTGACTCAAATTGCCGTTCAATTTTTTGTCATAAATTAAAATACGTGACTTACAATTGCTTCAGACATTAACTTATGTGTAAATTTATAGACTAATTAACAAATCATGTGAGTTTTACACATGATAGAGTTAGCTTATATTTGATCAATAAAATCCATTTTTTGGTACACAAAATAGTGTTAAATTGATCACAGATGAAGATTTGTAATGATGGACATACTTTATCTTTTTCATATTCGAAGTACTTGTACTTTATGACGTTCTTTAATTTATGACAAAAAAGTGAACAGTAGTCTTGTCCTGGTTCATATTACTATTAACTCATAATATCAAACGTAAAATTTAAATTTTTTTAATATTTGATGGTACATATAAAGAATTAAAATATCTTTTGAGATATAAAATAAGATTAGTCCTAAAAAAAAAACACCACAAAATTGCTGACTCACATGCATTGTGCACGCCTTTCTTGCACAGAGAGAGAGAGGGAGAGGTGTCAAAGGTGTCGAGGTTGGTTCCAATCTTATTCCCTATTTTCTTCCCCTTTCCCCAAAAAGAATTTGAAAAAAATTCCTCAAATTCTTTGTCATGGATTCAACTGCTGTGCTGTTGTAACACCCCAAAACATATCTTAGACGACATTACATTCTAAAATCATTCATATCATGAGAGTACTAATATAATCCCTTAAGAAACAAGACTTCATTTGTCATCTACGAATATTTACAACATTATCCAAAAGAATAAACTCAAGTCATGGTTATTACATCTCAAAAATTAATTAAAAAAGTGCAACAGAATAAACAAAAGAAGCTAAACTACATAATGTTTCAAAAGAATATCTTAGTCTAGTACAAAAGGAAAGGAGCTCGCTCTATGCGTCCACCTCGGGATCCACACTCCCGTCCAGTGGAGTCTCCCAAGTAGCGGNCGGAACTGTTTACGGACTGTTTTTATGGCCTGTTAAGGGCTGTTTTTATGGCCTAATATGGACTGAAATTGTGACTGTTTTTAGGCCATTCATGGATTGTTTTNTCTTACGTCCTCCTTCTCAAGTGGATAATCTGAAAAATGTTAGCGATAGAGGGTGACCACGAAGTTCTGTAGAACAATTCTCTCAAACCCATACAAGGTTTAGAAAAACATTTAAAACGGTCGATTTTAATTTTAACATAACATAAATACATAATTTGAAATAAAGCAGTGACATTNTTGTTTTTAGGGCCATTTCATGGACTTTTTTTAGGCCATTCATGGACTGTTTCTAGGGCCATTCCATGGGAAATTTTTAGGCCATTCATGGACTATTTTTAAGACCATTTCATGGACTGTTTTAGGGCCATTTCATGGACTGTTTTTAGGACATTCATGAACTATTTTTAGGGCCATTCCATGGGCAAATTTTAGGACATTCATGGACTATTTTTAAGACCATTTCATGGACTGTTTTAGGGCCATTTTACGGANCATTGTCATAACCAATTCTCAACAATTTTTTTGGTAGGTGACATAGTTTGTGGTAACCTCCACCCCCTTTAGGTCACCTTTGATTCTCAAGTATCCTTATTGGGAACCTCTTGAGAATGGATGAGTTTCCTTACATGGAACCTCTCCCTAATCACTACATTGTTTCGAAGCATCCTTATCGGGAATCTCTTGGGAAGGGGTGAGCATCCTTACAAGGAACCTCTNGCATCCTTACCGGGAACCTCTAGGGAAGGGGTGAGCATCCTTACAAGGAACCTCTCACTCATGTGCATCACAAACAACCCAACCAAGCATACAATTCTAATATTTATCTTAATTTACAAGCATCTATCCAAAATCTCCAAAATATATCATATAACAATTCCACAACCAACTAGGAAAATATATAAGATCACAATAACATCATTTTTCTACCCAACACAAAGCACTAAGGTTTCAAAATCCATAATAAGGAAAGCATTTAGGAAGGAAATACATCACTCTCCAAAAATTAGAGTTTTAAAACTAGAAAGGAGATTTCATGGGTATTAAACCCTACTTTGTTCAAAACATGTAATCTTTGTAAAAAGCCTAAGAGTTGATGATTCCATAGCACATATATACCATTGATAGCCAAAACATATATATATAAATACCCTAGCCTCAGCGTAAGTGAATGAGAGAAAACTCCTACCTTGAATCCTTAGCTTTGGTGTGAAGAACNCTCGAGAAAAACATCCAAAAACTCCGATACAATTAACACCACATCTGTATGGATTTTATCCCTGTCATCTCCCATCAAGCTAGTTAAGAAACTCAAATGGCTTCCCAATTTCACTTTTAAGAATCTACTAACCGTAGTAGGAAATAGATGAGAAAAATCTCGGTTATTCACAAAACTAAAAATGACTCCTCCCGGCAACTGAAATATAATTCGCTTGCGGAGACAATCCATTACTGCTCGGAAAGCGGACAAGAAATTCATCCCAAAAATCACATCATACCCCTTTATCTCTAAAGTAATCAAATCCACAATCNGGGGTGTGAGGGGAGTGAAGAAAATGAGAGAAAATGAGATGAACATGAGTTTAAAACATAGCAGCCCCAAAAAACACTGTTCACAGGCTGTTTTCGATTTCTCCAAATTTACGGTTTTACCACTAAGAATCTCTAATTTGATCCATATGACTATCCTAAAGTTTGTCGACGTTCCGGATTCATTTTTAATGTNTATTCCTTGAACCCAAACATGTAGTTTGTTCAATACCCCGTTTCAATGATAAACAAACTAAAAAATCATAAGTATTTATCATATAACTATCAAGAAGATTGAAAACATACATATATAATACCCAAAGTGTGAAACCCGAGAAAAATTTGAATTTTTTTTTTCTGAAAAAGGGTAAAATGGTAANGACTACTAATGAAGTTTTGCAATGTTTGTAAATAAAATGTGATAAAGAGTGTTTCTTAAAGCCTTTTATACTTATTTTAAGCTTAAAATTACTCATTATTCTTATATTTTGATTTAGGATGCAAATGGAGATATTAAATGCAAAACNCAGACCTTACCTTTGAATTCGTATTGCAAAATCTAGCTACCCTGTTAATTTTCGTCGAATTCCGAGATAGTTGAGTTTTTCTTATTTTTCGAGGCAACGGGTATTCGGTGACCACCAAAAACGAAATTTTTATAAAAATTTTGAAAGTTCAAAAATATTTTAAATAAAGTTCATATAAAATATTTTGAGCTTCAATCGGTATAAAATTTAATCGTTTCAGGGCGAAAACGGACCCGGACAAAGGGGGACACGTGACACGACTTGGGCCAAGCCTTGGAAATTATAAATAGGGCTAAATATCAGATATTGCAGCAGAAATATCTCAGATATTCAGCTGGTTTTAGACGTTGGAGAGAAAGAGAGAAAAAAAAGGCAAAAAATCTAATTTTGTCTCTACGATTCAAGAAGATCCGTCGGTCGGAATCGCTCAAGCCAAGAATCAAAGTTGATCTACGCGATAAGAGCTATGCATGAGCACCAAGAACGAAGATTTTCACCGAAGATCAAAAGGCGAGATTTTGAGGAAATCAAAATCTTAAGCTTTGGGGGTGTTCTTGGAGGTTCTAGTATTCATTCTACACTTCTATTGAGGTAGGGTTCTTCCTACTTTGGTTTTGCTCCTACCTTAAGGGGCTATTTTTGGTGGCTGAAATATGGATGTCTTATGGCTATTTATGGGCTGTCCAAATGGACAATTTTTGGACATGTTTTAATGGGTGAAATTGGTTTATATGTGGGCTGTTTTTGGGACAGTTACGGAACTGTTTACGGACTGTTTTTATGGCCTGTTAAGGGCTGTTTTTATGGCCTAATATGGACTGAAATTGTGACTGTTTTTAGGCCATNTACTATTTCGACATCATTTTGTTATCTGAGCATAACTCTCTCATCCAAGCTTCGATTGAGATGATTNTGGCAATGTCCTCCATTGGCTGAGTCAAAGCAAATACTCGTCCTTGGTTGGCGCCGCTAGGGGCTTGAGCTTGTATCGGTCGCTGCGGTGCAGGCCTCGGTGGTGGTGGTTGGGCTGCTGGTACTTGTCTGGCGGTCTGAATAGGCCCCTGAGGTGGAAAAACTAGGCAATGCATCNGCCTCGGTGGTGGTGGTTGGGCTGCTGGTACTTGTCTGGCGGTCTGAATAGGCCCCTGAGGTGGAAAAACTGGGCAATGCATCTGAATATGTCCCACACCTTTGCATGCAAAGGAGGATCGCGGGGTAATACCGGCTCTAGTCTGAGTGTCTCCCTCTCCTTGGGCTGTCAAAAGTCGTNTGCATGAGCACCAAGAACGAAGATTTTCACCGAAGATCAAAAGGCGAGATTTTGAGGAAATCAAAATCTTAAGCTTTGGGGGTGTTCTTGGAGGTTCTAGTATTCATTCTACACTTCTATTGAGGTAGGGTTCTTCCTACTTTGGTTTTGCTCCTACCTTAAGGGGCNAGAAGCCCTATCGTCACTGGCTATCCTCTATGTCTCTCTCTACCAGTACAGCTCTATCCACCAAGTCCCCAAAATCACGGATCTTGAGAGCCACCAACTTCTCCTTAATGATCAGCCTTAGACTCTGCTCGAAGCGCTTGGCCCTGTCGGCCTCAGTAGATATAAATCCCATAGCATAACGNGCTCCTACCTTAAGGGGCTATTTTTGGTGGCTGAAATATGGATGTCTTATGGCTATTTATGGGCTGTCCAAATGGACAATTTTTGGACATGTTTTAATGGGTGAAATTGGTTTA